GCTTTTTTCTTTTTGCTTATGTGGTGCTGAGGAATCGAACCCAGGGCCTTGAGCATGCAAGGCAAGCGCTCTACCACTGAGCCACCTTCCCAGCCCCTAACTTTTACTTTTTGAGGTAGGTATATTATCGAAAACTTTCAAACACTAAATTTTGCAACAAATTGAATTGACTTAAGGATCTTCCCTTCATTCTTCTCTTAACAGTTTATTCCTCATCTTGTAAAAGATCTTGAAATTTTTGTCAACTTAATATGTTTACTTCAGTTCTTCCTATTAGATTCTTTCCATTGGCTTCACAATGTAAGACAAAGCTATTATGGTGAAAGTCACTAATTCATTTTGTCACCCCTTTCTCTTCCCAGGTTCTTTATTCTAAATCCTTACCTGTTCTTTTTTCCTTTTTCTTTTCCATATATTTACCTATCTTTGCATATTATCCACTTGTTCTACTAGAGTTTCCAGCATATTAACTAAACCTATTTCATACTAATGGTCTGAAAACTGCAAACTTTGTGCCTTATCTGAGTATGATTCTATTGCTTGTTTTCTCTCTTCATACTGCTTTGTTGACTTTTAATTTTTTGTTGAAAATACAACATTGTATGAGCTTTTGGTGGATTTTTGTGTTTGTGTGGCTAGGAATTAGGCTATATTTACTTGCCATAGGTATGTCTAAGGTTTCAATTTCCTCAAATGTCTTTTTTGTTGTTGTCTCTTTTTTCATTTCCCTTGGAGACTCCTTCTTAAATAAGAGACTGACCTTGCAGTTCTTTCAGTTATAATTCCTTTTTATGCAGGAGCTTTGCAGATGTGGCAATAAGGTGCAGGAAGGAGGGATTCATTCCATAAAATAACGAGGTCTCTTTTTAGTGGGCCTTTATCCTTATCCTTGAGATGTGACTTCTACAAGTGTTCTTAACATTTTTTTTTTTTAAGTAGGAAAGGATGGCTAATTGGGTTAGTTACTTCCTTTCACCATGTCAGATGTTGGCAAAGGTTGATTAGGCACTAATAAAACAGTATTCCTTGGGTATAGATGTTTAGTATGGAAAACAGAATGTTCTAGGTATATTTGAGAATTACTGTTTTCCATCTACCTTCTAGACTCCTGAGCAATTTTTCTTTGATTTTCATCCTGAAAACCTGGTAGGTATCTAGAGATAAAATGGAAAATGTGGAAGTATCCTAAGGCTGAGGGTCTAGAATCTTTTGTTTCTCAAGCTAGCTCGCACTCTACAGATTAGTCATTTAGTTTTTAAGTTTTCTGATCTCTTTGTGGCTCATGTGGTAATTTCTGCTCCCTGTAAGCTCCCTGTAAGATTTTTCCTTTTTTCATAAATCTTTCCAGTGTCAATAGTTGCTTACCTTGGGATGTGATAATTTCCACTTTATTTAGCCTTTTGTGAGAACAATAATAATGATTTTAAAGTCTTTTCATAATGAATGGGCAGTAGAAAGAAGTCTGTTAATTTCTTTTATAATCTCTTCTCGTCATTGCTTCATTACCTAATGTAGAAGCTACTCATGGATGTGTAATTGTAATAAAGGTTTCAAAAGTGACCATATTCTGTGTGCTTTCTTTTATGTTTGAATTTTGTGAAATGGCTCATCTGTTTGTTTCCTCTTCCTTTCTGCCTCCAATTTCTCTCCTTGACCCTATTACTTTCTTTTTATTTCTTTAGATTTTTTTATTGTAGGACTGAGTTCTTTATCTCCATGGTAAAATTTCACATCTTAAATTTCAGAAGCTGAAATTTATTCCTGCTTTTTCAGCTCCCAAACACATAGCTCTACCAAGATATCATTTGCTGATGTCTAAAATGGAATGTGTCTACAATTTTTTTCCTTTTCTTTAGAAGGAAAATGTAACTATCATTGTAATGCTGTGAGGGGAAGGCAGTATGATTAACTTCCATTTCCAGTGAAAGAAACAGATTAAAAAAGTTGCCCAAGGATGCATATAGCCTGTGAGTTACTGGATAAACTGGGGCATTTCAATTGGCCATGTTTAACTTCCCTTACACTCATGTTTAATGAGCCACTTAAACATGGTTATTTTATTTCTCACATGCTACAATAAGAATTAGACTAAAGACATGGCTCAGTTGGTAGAGCCAGCCAAGCAAGCTAGTTGGGTATATGTTCAGACCATAGTACTAGCAAAAATACCAGTACAATGATAAATAGATTGTAGATATATATTTTTCAATTAAAATTATTTTGTAAAGATGATGTACATAAGGGTTATAGTTATGTAAGCCAGGTAATGAGTACATTTCTTTTTTGATGTTCACTTATGCTGGGTGTTGGAGGCTCACACCTGTAATCCTAGCTACTTAGGATACTGAGATCTGAGGACCCTGATTCAAAGCCAGCCTGGGCAGGAAAGTCAGGAAAGCACCAAAACCAGAATTGGA